TTTTATGAATGTTTTTTCTTATATAGGGAAGACAAATGAACAATTTAAATTAGTAGAGAAAAATACTGATCTTCCAATATGACATGAACAATACGTTCATGTTTAGCTTGTTTGTGAATTATTGGTCTATACGCAATAGCACATTACCTTATACACAATATATATATGGGTGAAAATTTAAAAGTTAGCACATTTGCGTCACAAAAAAGTAAGCTTAAATAAATACTTTTTTAGAAAATAAATCAAATTTTAATTAATAAAATAAAAATTATAAAATCTTTAATTTTAAATAAAAAAAATTTTTAGATTGCAAAAGTAAGTATTTTTGGAAAATTTTGGAAAATTGTCGGAGCGCGTTTTCTGTTTTCATATAAATGAAACTTGTCACAGACCACATTTTTAATTTTCAATTTAAATTTTCATGAACTTCCTCCACAGAAGGATATATTTTAAATTATATTGCAAAATTATTTCATTATATTTAAATAAAAATCAAAAATTAGTTTTTAAGTTTTAATTTATTTTAATGTCATTTTAACAGAAAAAAAGTGTAAAACAAGAATTGTTCAACTGCGTTACTTCAACTATGTTACATCATAAAACTTTTTAAAATTAATAATTTTTTTAAATATTTTGGCATCATTATTTGTTTTAAAGAATACGCAATAAGTCTGTTCGGGCCTGTGGTGAATGTTGTTCCAAACACATCGCTGGAGATAGTTTGAATTTTTTTTGCCGTGAATGTAAAACGCTTTTTTCAACTGTGTTACGTGGTTTTTGTTTAAATATTTTTTTTAAAAATTCAAAAAAGTGGCATATTATTAAGCAAACCAAGTAAACTAACCAACTGTATACTTTAAAATGCAAAAATATGTTGTAGTTTTATGTTAATATACTTTTTATTTTAAAATATTCTACTGCGTTACTGTTCAACTGTGTTACTAAATTTAAGTAACACTACGGAAGACATGGTAAGAAAGTTGATTTTTAAGGCAGTTTACTCTAAGTTGGTGAATAAATTCTTAATAATTTTACATACAAATAGGCGATAACATATTTTATTGATTATTATACAAAATGCCACTATCTATTTATATTTTAAATATGTATATTGTTAAAAATGCAAATGAAAAACTTAACCGAATATATACAACTTCATCGAGAGGAAAAAAGTTAATATCTTAGCATATTAAACAACAGCATGAAATTTACTGTTTTTGTTTTAATTTTTTTTGTTAATATACTGAAGACTGAATCAAATTTTTCAACAGTGTTACTATATTTTCCACTGCGTTACTGTTTTGTCACAAAAAAAATCAAAAAAAAAATATTGTTTTAAGCTTTTTTCTTCAAATTTAAGCTCTTAATTTTTTTGTTATGGACATTTTTAGAATAAAAAATTAATTTCTAAAGCAGTTATGTAAAAATTCCTGCAAGAAAAAAACTATTAAATAGTTTTATTTTAAAAATAAAAACTTTAAATTTAAAATTAGTAACACAGTTGAAATAACTTATTATTTATTTTTTTATAAAAATGATTTTTCAATATTACAGAATAAATTTATTTATAACTTTAATTACAAATGAGAGTAAAATATGAAAATAATAATTTCCATTGAAGAGATCGAAAAATTTAAGATATTTTTATCGGTAACGTAGTTGAACTAAATTCAAACCTGAGCTTACTTTTTTGGTTATAATTTCTAAAATATTTACAAAATCTCCGGACCACTTGAGGATATTGTACATTATTATTATTAGGCAACTATAAAAAAATTATTTTAATAAAAAATTCTAAAAAAATAATTTGGAAAAAAAAAAATTCATTTGTGCAAACTTTTAAATTTTGACCCATATACTTTCATATTTACATATTTCTTATACACATGAGGTGTGCTTTACTTTTTATTCGAAGTATCTTATAATTCCAAATATTTTTCGTTTTTGACGTGGATATTATTTTTGCTCTTTGACTATTCATATGGGTTTTTTGTAAAATTTCCTATTTTATACTTAATAGACACCTTCATTCTACTTTGATGAATGATCCTCCATTGTTGTATGATTATTCACATTTTTTTATTTTGCTATTTAGTAGGGTTTTCACGAAATGACTTGTTCAATTTACTTTACTTTATTCATAATTGAGGAAAGGTGTTCCAGATTGCCGCGTAAGATCTTTTATTGTAGTATTTTCCACCTCATACCTTGTTCAATTCACTTTGCGCATTTCAAGTTCAGGTACGAAGTGCCAGATATCCATGCGAGATCTTGTTGTTTTTGACATCGTTCTATTAAGTTGCCATGTTCATTTTACTCAAGTAATATGAGAAGATATGTATTATTAAATATAGCACATTAATCTTAAAACATAAGAATGAGCATTAATTCACAATATAGTTTTTAAATATAAAATAATTATTTAAAATTTTCCAATACAAAGACTCAAAATTGATATGTATATATTTTTATTTATTAATTAAATAAAACTGTTATAACAAAATCATTAATTTTAAAAAAACATAACGTGTACCTATAAATAATCGTCGTAGCAATGTTGCGCACTCAAATATCAGTACCTATCCATATATTACGTATATACAGAAGTATGTATGTATGTATGTATTTATGCGATTATTATTTATTTGCTTAAATGCGAGCAGTTTACATGGTTACTTACATCACATGTTTGTGCATTTGTATATTTATATAATGATTCTTATATATGTATAACAATTCTGATAGCAAAACCTTATTGTAAATTTTAGGTATGATGGGAAACCGGTTTTATGTTTTATCTTTTTCTTTTATTTTTTATCCAAGTACATAAATATATACATATGTACAATTCTCAATTATAATCTCATTTAATTTATATAATATAATACAAAAATACATACATACATACTTATTATATTTCTTATTTTTTTTAGTTTTATATTTAATTAATATCACTAAATTTCTTAAAATTTTTCTTCTAAAAAAAAAAACAAATAAAAACAGTTAACGTGAAATATTTGTACTCGCCCACCATACCCTTTTTTCGGGTTTATTCAATTTACGATTGAATTTTTTTCTCATTTCCTTTATAATTTTAATTTTCGAGAGAATTTTTCTTACTAATTCATCCGTGTAAAAATTGTTTTTCTGTTGAGTAAGAAAATGAGAATAATAACAAAGTCTGGAGAATAACAAGCGATGCCGTGGTATGTGTGAGCCAGTTGTAGAATTTCAAACGAAATTTTGAATTATTATTGTGTTGATAAGAATATTATGAATGTATGTATAGTTGCAAATAACAAAATGTTGACGTGTTGGTGTCTTAAATTTGAATTGAAATATTTGAAATACAGAGGCCATGCTCTTACTTAATTTGAACTTGTATTGAAATGAATCCTCAGAGTTGAGCATACTTTTATGTGTGTTTGTGCTGAAATGTGTATAGATATAAATTGTAAGGTAAATTTACAATAAAAGGCAGTTTACCATATATGCATTTTAAATTAATTTGAAAGAGAAGTGTATAATAGTATTTGTTTTTTTTAAAATGGAATGAGATTTTGAGTATGTATTTTATATTTCATAACAAAAAATATAAAAAAAATAAGTTTTGATTGAAAATTAAGAGAAAATTGTAATGTATAATAATGATTGTTTGTTTATTGCTAGTTCACTTCTTCTAAGTGCCGAGTCTTTTAAGTTTAAAATACATGAAGTATATAATTATTTGTATACATATATACATTTTATATAAGTATCTATTGATGTATATAGGGGTTCTTCAATATTTTCGTTGTTATTATTGTTGCTGTTATATTTATTTTTCTGTGTTATTTTTTTTGTTTTTATAGTTTTTCTTACTGTATCTCTTCTTTTTAATTTGTGATACAAAATAATTTCCATAATTTTGTGTTATTTATTTTTTGTTGTTTTAATTTTTTTATTCCGGCTGGACTTTTTTACTGTTTTTTTTCTCATGTTTGTTTTATTTTTGTTTGATGATTATTTTGTAGTTCTTTCTTCTCTTTCTGGTGTATATTTTACCGTTCATGATTTGGTTTTCTTTAGATTGGTAATAGGACTGGCTGGTTGCATGGTGGTTAAATGGGAATACAACAAAAAATTTCTTATTGAAAAAGAAAAACGAAATACTTTTCAGTATAAACATTTCAGTCAGTTGGAAATAATCAAGAGCGTCGGGTGTTGTGTTACTTGTAAAGAGAAAAATAAAAATATTTGATACTTATATATTGAGTTCTTTATTTTAATAAAAATATTGTTTTCGAAAAAAAATATTGCAAATACCAATAGGTACTTATTTTATAAAATGGTTTTTAGTAAGACATTTTATTTATTTGTATTTTTTAATTAAAAATGTCTTTTGTTTCAAATCGGTTTTCATGTTGAGAAACAAAGTGGAAAATAATAATGAGGACACTAAAATGATTTTAATATTTGAGTGAAATTTTTTACATGTGAAGAAAAAAAAAGCGAAGTAAAACAAAGTTAAAATGTCCTTCAGTGTGTGTTACAATTTATAAATTTATATTGTTTAAATAAGAAATGAAAACCCAACCAAAATTAAGAATAAGTACATATACTAAAATTTTTAAGAATATTATTCAAAAAAAAAATTCTTAAAATGCATTTTATCACAATTATACTCAAAAAAAGTGAGTGAGTGAATTTTAAAGTAAAAAGTTTTACTAAGAATTTAAATGCTACCGAATAATAATTTTTATGAATATTGAAATAAAAAGTTTTATGTTACCCATAATAATGTTAATTGCTTAAAAGTAAGTTTTTAGAAATACATGTGTTAAATTATGCTCTTTACAAGTTCCTCTCTAGCTTATATTTTTGCTTTAATAATGAGCTAACAATTTGAAAATATTTTAAGAGTAAAAAAAAACCATATATAACAACAAAAAAATAAGCTGTTAAATTTGTACAATTAAACAAAAAAAAAACCAAACCAAATAATAATTTTAAAAGTATTTGTTTAATTCACGTAAAAACATTAAAAACTTAATTAAAATGGTGCTGGAACATCAAGGATTATTACCCAATTTACCGGCGGCAAGTCGTTTACAACCAGCATCACAGATATATGCTGCATTAGCAGCACAATTAAGTCCTAGATCACGTGTACCACCATGGGCACCATTTTTACAGTTTGGTGTCCCAGCTGTTTTTGGTGGATCATTTTTAGCGGCAGCACGCCCACGTTTTGACCACAGTCCAATAAACGGCAATAATAATGCAAATGGAAATAATTCTAATAATAATGGTAATAGCAACAATAATAATGGATCAAATAACAGCGCGGTAGGCGGCAGTAATAATAGTATTGGCGGTGGAGGTAGCGGTAGTAATGGTAATTCGCCTTTAAGTGTTGTACATCAACAACATCAACACACTTTAGCTAATTTGAGTGGATTAAGTGCAGCTATGGTTAATGCTAACGCTGCAATGGCCGCTAATGTTGCTGCAGCAGCACATCATCAATTATTAAATGGTAGTAGAAATGTTATGCCAGGACCACCAAGTGAGGATTCAAATGAGGACAGAGGTAAGTGTAAATTTGTCCCAAAAATCAGTATCTATTATGTTTTTGAGAAATTGTATTGCATTATTTTAAATTGGGATAAAACTTTTAAAACCCTTTTCTCAAGAAGCCAAAGGTCGAACGGTAATCAGCCAATTAGATTTTTCACTTGATTTTCAAAATAAATATCAACTGTTCTTTATTTAAATGCAAAATTTATGAATCGCGATCAAAATTAAAACAACTTAGAATTACCGCCAAGATTTTAAGAATAAGATTTTCAAGCTACATGGAACTTTTCTGAAAATTGCCAAAACTAAACGAGCGTTATTTAGTTTTTAATCCTTTTTCATCAAGCAAAATTAGAAAAATAAAAAATTATGTGCCATATTGTAAAAAATATTTTGTAAAAACATTAGATAACACTTTGTTAACCACATTGTGTATGTGTAGATTCGGTTTCCACTATTTCAACTTTTTAAAACAAAAAAAAAATTTTTATTAACCTGTTGCCTTAATCTTTGCAACAGCAGGCTAATGCATCTTAATAAGATAATTATCATAAATAAAAAAAATTAAGTATATAGAAGACAGAGGTGAAAGAAATACTTTGATGATCAAAGTACAAAAAAAAAATACAAACAATCTTGAAAACAACAGGAAATTCTTTTAATTTAAAAAAAAACATGAATAAATAAAATATTTATGTTTGCAAAAAAAAAGGAAGATTTTTGTGACTTAATTGATAAAAGCATGACAGAAAACCCCAAACACTCGAAAAATTTTCGGAAATAAGATATTGTAAGCGTAATTATACTTGGTTTACGATTACATCCTGCGGTTTTTAGGGTAAGCGCCTTGTGGTGACTTCAAAAAAAGAACATTAAGGCGACCAAAGAAAATCATTCACTTATTCATTTATTTTCTCTTTTTCGGCACAACTGCCTGATGTAAATTTTAAATGAAAAGAATACAGAAAAAATAATTTATTGAGAGTTTATATGCCGTCGGTTAATCAGAAAAAGTAACATTTTCATATAAAAAGTGACATTTAAGAAAAAAAAAAATTATGTTATCCCCTTATGTGTGCGTGTGTATTGGTTTTATTATACAAAAAAATATATTGAAGTAGATGTACAGTTTTTGCAAGCAGACAACATTGTAGTGAGACAATTAAAAATTTTTGAAATTAATTAGGAATTTTATAAAGTTGTTAATAATTTGACAATGAAGATTTACTTACTTAATTTAATATATGCCGATTACAACATAAGGCGCAATATAATAAAAATGTACTTTTGTGGTTTTGCTGGTTCCATCAGTTAGAACATTTTTTTGATATGTATTTAAATACACATCTTTAATTTTATGTCAAATTATCTTTTGCTAGTAGTTCATTTTTAATTAAAAATAATTTAAGAAATTATAAAGAAAATCTGTCAACTTTTGACACATTTTGGTTAAAAATAATAGTTAAAAAAATGTTGCTTGTTAAGCTTTTCGCTTATTTTCATTACAATTTAGAATTCCATTCAGCCTGTTGGTTGTAAAATATATTTTTTGCGGAAAACCAAAAAGATAACCAAAAAATTTAATTTAAAATGAATTTTTGAAGCATACAAATAAGTGAATTTTATTAAGTTATCGAGAGACGTGTGTTGCGAATCTGAAGTTGAATTAAGTCTTTTGATATATGTAGGTATTTGACGTAGAAATTTATTCAATATAATGTTCATTTACAAATGGGTTGGTAAATTTTGCTCACAACAGTATAATTAACTGTCAAATTATTTCCGTTAAAATAATATATGGAAAGAAATTCCGTTGAATCTAAAGATTCGTTTAAAGTTATATAAAAAGTAATTAAATAGTTTTTTTGGTAAAATTTCCAATTAACGTATAAAGTACTTGATAATTAAATTGTCTTATTGCATCGAAACTATTAAAAGTGAAGTGTATAGGAAATTTCCTTATTATTGTTCTCTGCTTCCTTAATTCGCAATTTAGAATCTGATTAGTTTATATAGATCGTCTTGTTTAAGACTTGTAAAATATTATTTGAATTTATACTAAAATTCATCGGAATGTAGACATCACCATAAAGCATTTATCTAACTAATCAAAAGAAAAGAATACATTTTTAATATTAATCTAATTGTATGATGAAAAGAAATATTTGCATGCGAAGAGTCTTTAACAAGTTTCTACATAAAAATGATTTCGAGAGTTTCTTTCGCAATGTATTGGAATTTTTTATTGTTATATAATTTTAAAATATTTTTTTTAAAGCCTTAGACAAACCTAATGAAATGATGTTGTATGCTAAAGATCGCCGAAATTTAAAACCAATGGTTAGCAATGATAAAATTGCATTTTCTGAGTTAAATTTTTGGATTTAAAATTGTTGTATTATTAACCTATCAATTTATTTTTTAAATATTATATGAAGCAGCTACTAAAAAAGGAGTTATGATTATTGGATTAATGTTACATAAGAATTGATTTTTGCATCCAAAGTTATAAGCTAATGACATAATTGGACAAACCTTTATCTTAAATAATTATTCGTAATGGTAATTTTAAGAATTTAAAATTTGTTTTTTAAATTGGTGTTTGGTTCAATTCAAAGAGTTTCGGATATTTAATATCAATTTTGTGTCTGACTTTCAGCTTTTGTTCTGACCTTGTTGAAGATTTTAGTGTCATGAATTATGACATTAAAATTATGAAATTTTTTTCCACTAGGTACTTATAACTACTACGCATAAATAATTAATAATTTGTAGTTTCGGTATGTACCATCTTTTCTTAAGCAACCTGACGCTCGTTTCTAAAAGCGTCGTAAAAAAAGAGTTTAAACTTTTAAAATTTGAAATCAAATAAGGTCACTCTGTGGAGTTGTTAATTTAAAAACAGATTTTAAATTAAGTAAATTGCAGTTGATTTTAGATCCATTTCATGTATGAACTTATGTATGGCGCATTATAGCTTTCAAATCTTAAATCTGCGTTAAATGTTGCATAAAAAATAAAATGTTTCTATATTTTGACCAAAAAATACAAGCTATTATGAAGTCATTTTAGTATAAATTGCTCATGAATTAAAAATTTATTTTCATTTCTAGATTTTTTAAAAGAAAATATCACAAGTTAGAACATTGAAATATCAAAAGAAGGCCTTTTTCTTAAGTGGATAGGCCAACATATTTCATAGCATGCCCGATTTTTTTTTTAAAGAATCTTACGGTTAGTAACACAATTTTTTTGTAGTTTTCTTGAGAATTCGTTTGCAACTGCAATCGGAAGATTCCACGGATTAATTTTCATGTACGGTATTGCATAGCTGACCGAAAATGTTTCCTTATTTAATTTTCAAAAATTTACTTTACAATCAAACTGAATTTCATGCCCATCAGTGCTGTAAGATACAAGGTTTATTATTCTATATGCAAATATTCGTGAACTCTTCTAAAAGACATGAGTTACAGATAATTTAAAGAAAATTAAATAATAAGTATTTCCATTGAATTGAGATAGCGAAATGCGCACACTCCGAAATTTAAAAGTTCAATACACTCAAATATTTTTGATTTTTGAAAACACTAAATTGATTTAAAATTGTGTGGTACCTGATGAAAATCAATTCCATGAGTAAACTTATGTATGTATATATACATACCATCACTTACTACCTAATAAATTTCTTTTTTAAAAAAATCAGAAAGAAAATTTTTGTATTGTTGTATGGGGGCTCCGATAATAAAACTTATTATTCAATTTAAATTTTTATAAACAGAGTGGAAGGAAAATTGAGGATGAAATTTTTAATAAAATTTAAAAATAATGTAAAATATTTTTAAATATGTGTATGTATCTAACTAAAACTTAATTACTCATGTAACCTTCCCATATGCAAATCAATGTCCTTTTACGCTTTGCTTAACCAATTTGTTATTACTATATACATATTAGCCATGTATATGTACGTGCTACAAATTGAGAGCGGAAGAAAGTTAAACGCAGATCTAAGCGAAACTAGTTCTATAAGCTTAAAAGAATTGAATGCAAAGAGTTTGTTTGACAAAAATTAATTTTAAATTGTATTTTGGTTTTTATTTAATTTTAATTCTGTTCAAGCTTGATTTGATAATATTTTTTTTATCCTACTTTGATTCTGGGAGGTGCCTGATATTGTAGACCATGAACCAATTCCTTGCGCCATTGAGTTTTACAAGGTATAGATGACGAGGCTACCGTAATTTGATATTATTTGAAGAGTTATAATTAGAAGAAGAAAATTAATTTTTCATATCTTGAACTTTTTTTAAGTTTGTGCTATTTAAATTTATTTGGGTTGATAATTTTCTTCCTGTAGCATTTGCAACTTTCTCATTTTCTTGTAATCAATAGCTTTAAAATTCGCCCCATGAACAAAGTTTTGACTAATTATTATTTTCAACAATTCAATAGTTATAAAATTTAATTTACGAGAAGGAGTTGAATAATACTGGAACATGTTATTTGTAAAATATGAAGAGTAAATGTAGTTTCGCTAGGATTAATTAAGTTCATGGTGCCGTTCATTTTCCCAAATTTTTAAAGCTTGAAAGATTTCCAATACAACATAAGTATATATTTCATAAGGGTTCAGAAGAATAGAAAGTGTAGCTCTGAAGTTACATGAGTGATATAGTGCTTCATTGAAATAATCACATGAATTGTAGATTGAAAACATTCAATTTTATAATTAAATGTAACGTTCTCTTTAGGAAAAGCAATTACTGTTATCAAGTTAACGAGACTACACAATTCAACAAGAGAGAGTCAACAACTTTTTTATATTTGGAAGCTTTTCTAAATGCGACTTTTATTTAGTACTTGTTCTATTAACATATTAGTCCCATCTCACCAGATTTTTTTTCTTCATATCTAAAGATAAGGCTAATGTAATATATTATAGCCCTATATATTATGATTTTTTTAAATCAAATTTAACAATTAAGTGCCAATGATTTCAATCAACCA